CATAATTGTACAGTTCACATTTCTCACTGTATTCTGCCTGAATTCTTCTAAAGTCCTTTATTTTTGTTTCTAATTCAGCCTTCAGGGGTTTCTGTCCTTTCCTGAGTTGATATCCTTCATATCTCAGGTCCTCAACTTCTCTTTTTAATAACTCAATTTGTTCCCGAAGAAATTTAATCGTATCTTCACTAGATAGTGTACATGAAACTTCATTGACCGGAAGGTTTGCGGAACTCATTGTTTTCCACACTTCAAAGCGTCAAGTTCTTCAATTATATCAGCAAGACTAAGACGATTGAGATCTTTTGTCTTCTTGATGACAGCCACGTTCATATCCCACGATTTCGGAAGTGCATTAAGCAACTTTTTGCTTATCTCAGATTTGGTCAAGAAGATCCCAGCTATATTCATCTCCGTAGTGAGTGTGGTAAATCGCTGCAACTGAGCTTCCAGAGTTTCTCCAGGGATATAATCGAAAATATTGAAATTTTGTCTTTACATATCGTGACGACTTTCTTTCATGTTTTCAACTCCCTCGTAGACCTCAAAAACCATTAAAGTCAAACTTAAATTTAAAAATGTCCTTTGACTATAAACCTCAAAAGTCAACCTTAAAAGTCAAATTTAAAAAGTCAAAATCAAAAGTCAAACTTGAAAAGTCAAACTTAAAAGTCAAACCGAAAAGCTAAATTTGAAAATTTAAAAGTCAAACGAGAAAGTCAAAGGTCAAACTTTAAAAGTAAAAAGTCAAAAATAAAAGTCAAAAGTTAAAAATAAAATCAAAAATAAAAACTAAAATTTTTTGGCTGAAATTGGAATTTAAAATGAAAAGAAATTGAATTTTGGGTTGAATTTGTCAAATTGCGAAACTTGGATGCGAGAATGAGATGTTAAGTTTAAAATTTCGAGGGATTGAAACAAATGCTCTGTTGGTCGAGTTGTCTAAGCACGCTGTGGCAATGACCTAGAGGTCCCAGGTTTGATCCCCGGCACCCCCAACTTCGCGTCCCTTTTTATTTGAAGCTGCTGAACGAACCGGAGGTACTGCTGAACGAACCGGAGGTGGCTTCTGAACGAGACGAGGCCGCAGCTTAGCCGAACCGAACCGCAATCCACCGTCCACCGAGCCGAGCCGCAGACGATCCGAGCCGTAAACCGCCGAGCCGAGCCGCAACCACCGACCGTAATCCGCCGACCGTAAACTCCAAGCCGCAAGCCGCCGACCGTAAACTCTGGCGACCGTAAACCCGTTTACGGCCGTAAACTCCGAATCCTCGGACCGTAAACCCCGGACCGTAAGCTCGGAAACCCTAGCCGTAAACGCCGCCGCCGACCGTAAACACTTCGGAAATCGCTGTTCTTGACGAAAAACAGCGTTTTTGCCCCTTTTTGCTCCAAAACTCAATCAAAAACTCGTTTTTAGGAAAAACGCGAAGAAGAAACCCCCCGCGATCTATCCAAAAACACAAGAATCCTTCAAAAATAAGATCAAATAAGCTCCAGATCTGACAAAAATGAGTGATACAATTCAAGCTTTGATACCAATTGTAAGTCCCTAATCTGCTTGTGTATCAATCAGATCCGTTTGATGGTGCGGAATCCCAATCAAACGGATGATGTCAGATCAAATAGAAGAGAAGGAGAAGAAGAATATGATGAATCTTGTATGTATTGATTATGAATGAAGATCCGTATACAAGATTCACACACACTAACATACACTCTCTTTTCTCTCTCTTTCTCTCTCTAGAACACCTTGAGTTTCACACACTTAAGCTCTCCTAGTCTATGTGTTCATCAATCTACTCCTTACACCCCTCACCCCTATATATACTCGACTGGGCAGCAAACTGGGTTTACGGCCGTAAACATGTTTACGGCCGTAAACATGTTTACGGCCGTAAACTCTGTTTATGGTCGTAAACGTGTTTACGGCCGTAAACTCAGTTTACGGTCGTAAACTCACAACACATATACAATATTACATAACAATACAATTTCCTAGAAAAGCAAAGTATAAACCATATTTTTGACCCAACAGAATTTAAGGTTATGTTTGACAGACTAGCTGAAAAGCTACCTGATAGCTGAAAAACAAGTTGCTAGCTTATAAGCTAGCTGAAAAAAATAAAGTTTGGTAAAACTACTTCACAAGCTAGCTGAAAGATATAAAATGACATTTAGAAGAATACGTTTTTTGTAATTAATTAAGGATATATTTGATAAATTTTTAAAAAACTTCTAAAAAACTACTCAAAGTAGCTTTTTAAAAAGCTAGTTTATCAGCTACTTTTTGGCTTGTCAAACATGACAATTTAAAAAAACTCGAAAAATCAGCTAGCTAGCTGATAATCAGCTAGCTGTGACGTGCTAAACACAACCTAAGACACGTTTACATTACAAAAATATAATATAAATTTAGTAATTATAGAAGTTAAAACATATTAAAAATAGGTTAGAAAGTTCTATCCGTACCTACTCTATTTAATTATAGAGGATAAACATATTGCAAATTTTAAGTTAGATACAAACAGATAAATATATAATATATCATATCGTTTTATGCGTGGATCTATTACTATATTGCGTCAAAAATATAATTAAATGGATTTCCATAAAAAAAGGATCTCCTTAAAATTGAAAAATCGGTTTGATCTACCACGTTTGGAATTTCATCCAGGTTTGACTTCTTGACATACACGCAAATCGTGGGAACTTTTAAATACACGAGTTAATTAATATTTATACTATTTGAAGTCGTGCACTTGTGCCTATTATTTTCATTTTTAACAGTTAACGTTAATATGGAACTGAGAGATATAAATCGGTCTATACTTTTTTCTTTTTATTAAACTCCCTTGTGTCTCCCTCAAAACTTCGATATGTATTTCTTAAAAGACAAATTTATAGCACAAAACTCCAACAATTGCAACTTTTTGTGAAAGGTTGTAATGGTACATAAACAACTGATAAGTTTCGCTCTGTTAGCGGTCATATTTATTTGTATGGTATTTATTGTATTGTATATTATGTATTTGTCATTAAGGCCGTTGCCCATCTCTTGTATTTGATATATATATATATATATATATATATATATATATATATATATATATATATATATATATATATATATATATATATATATATATATATATAAAAGGAAAAAGTTCAATAGAGAACCATTATTAATCAAGGAACAAATGAACCAATCCAAAGCGTCGGAATTTAAAGCGATCAACGGCAAAATGAAGGGTTGTAAACTTTTATAATTGACGCACATGTACCGGATTATAACAAAACTCACTTCCTTTTTTTCATTTAAAATTTTTTTTAGGCCAAATTTTTTATCGAAAAAAAAAACGAATATACCGTTGTTCACAATTTTTCGTCCTCTTTCCATAGAGATGCATGATAATATATAAAAAACGATTTTTTTTTCGAAAAAAACCCACTTAATTTTCTTAGTTTTTTCAATATTTAAGTTTATTTTTATAAAAAAAAACTAATTATACCAAAAATATTAATTTTTTGTACTCTATTAATAAACATAAACACCGATTAAAAAATAAAAATAAAAAATAAAAAATAAAAAAAACTCGAACAGTGTAGATTCACACTGTGAATCTAAACTGTAAATATTTAAATTTTTAACATTTACAATATGAAAAATCTCGAACGGTTTAGATTCACATTGTGAATCTGAATTACTATTATGCACACTGTGAATATGAGAAGATTTACAAAAAAAAAAAAAAAAAAAAAAAACTTCGATCAGTGTAGATTCACACTGTGAATCTAAACTGTAAATATTTCAAATTTTAACATTCACAATGTGAAAAAGCTCCGATCAGTTCAGATTCACACTATGAATCTGACTTATTATTATGCACACTGTGAATCTGAGGAGGTTCACAATGTGAATCTGAATAGGTTTCCAATATGAATCTGAACACGTTCATAATGTGAATCTGAACCAAAATAATTTTTTTTTTAAACATGAATATGAATCTATGTTTAAAAAGTACAAAAAATATGAATTTTGATATATTTATTAATTTTTTTTCTATAAAAAAATAGACCTTAACTTTTTTTATCAAAGAAAATAAAGTGGGTTTTTTTCGAAAAAAAAAATCGTTTTTTATATATTATCATGGATCTCTATGGAAAGATGACGAAAAATCGTGAACAACGGTATATTCGGTTTTTTTTTTCGATAAAAAACATGGCCTAAAAAAATTTTTAAACGAAAAAAAGTGGTGAGTTTTTTTGTAAATGGTGGATTTTTTGGTATAATCCGGTGTGTGTGCGTCCAATGTAAAAGTGTACATCTATTTCTTTGGCCGTTGATCGTTATGATTTCTGACGCTTACGATTGGTTCCTTGATTAATTATGGTTCTCTATTGAACATCACCTATATATATATATATATATATATATATATATATATATATATATATATATATATATATATTTACCCAAACAACCTAACTTAACCTACTTTTCCAATATTTAAGTAGCATTTGAACTTATAAAGCTACCACAAGCTTTCTTTCCTCCATGGGATAAGAGCAAAATAAGAAATCTATTAATTTTGTAAAGTAAAATGTTAAATACTTATCTAGCTCTAACAGACAATACACATTAGTTTGTGAAATATAATACGGATTGTGTAACTAGGACCATTATAAAGTGATGTTCCAAATGATAATACTTTCCGATAATTATTCTATTAAATAACTGAATATTTTGTGATATTTTTTCATAGACGATTATTTTGTGTGTAAACACTTCTCATTGTAGATATCTCAACTCCTATCCCTATTTTAATACATACATAATCTTACAAGATCAAACCGATATCAAATGAATAATCAGTTGTTTTTAGACACAATTATTTATTATAATCAAATTAATCATATGACTTATTGGCTCCAAAATTAAATATACTTCTTCTACATGTTGGTGTTAGGTGGCATATGGTCTGCACTTCCACACTATAAAATCCACGCGCGATACCCCCACAACATATCACTTGTTAACTGGTGAAGTAATCTGAGGTTAATTACAAGTAGAACTTGAAACAATGGTTGGACCAGCAAGGCCACAGTTTGTGTTGTTCGGTTCCTCAATAGTTCAACTTGGCTTTCTTCTAGATGGTTGGGCTTCGGATCTTGCACACTATTACGCTCGCAAGGTTTATATTTGAAATCTGATTTATTTCTTGTGTTCGATTGTGATTTAGTACACCTGTAGATTTCTAAAGTAATGTATAATCACTTATATATATCCATGATGATATAAACTAGCCCAATAACCTGATATTCAACTTAAAACCGTGATGGGGATAGATGCATGGAAGTGAAAATTACATTCTTTATTGAATCTCAATCTTTATGAGACAATAAATGTGATTAGTTGTACGATATTTGTATCATGTATTTTTGTCATTTCTGGACATAAATCTCTCTTCACTTGCGAATGATATAGGCAGACATATTCATGCGAGGATATTCTGGTTGGAATTCAAGGCAAGCGCTAGAAGTTGTGAAACAAGTTTTCCCAAAGGTAATTTCTTTGGTTTAGTTGCCAACTCAAAACCAAATTCATATTATGGTTTTCCAATATGTATTTGAAACATTGTTCTTTTAATTTTCTTTTTCTTATTTAATTTCAGGATGATGCAGTAAAACCATCTCTGGTGATTGTTTATTTTGGAGGTAACGATTCAGTACTTTATGATCCAGATGTCCCAAGTTCTCATGTACCACTTGATGAATATGTTCAAAACATGAGGAACATTGCTACCTATCTACAGGTACATTTTCACATAATATATTGTGATATGAACATATAATTATCATTTACTAGTATTAATAGAAAGGCACATTAGTATACATCCTTAAGTTAATTGATTTTAATACAACCAACTCTTTCTTACCAGAGCCTTTCAGAGACCACACGCCTAATATTTCTTACTGCCCCTCCAGTAAACGAGGAACAAATGAAAGAAGTTCTAGGGTGATTATATATTACTATCCTGAGTTTTTTTATCATTTAATATTCCTTCTAATTAACAATTCTCGTTTGATCTTACAACTGCCCTTCTATAAAACCAGTATTGAGAATCGCAAAAATGAACTGTGCGGAATATACTCTGATGCTTGTCTAGCCTTATGCAAAGAAATGAATATCAAGGCTATTGATCTTTTCACCTTAATTCAACAACGACCTGACTGGTTGACAACCAGCTTTCTGTAAGTAAATATGCTTTATTTGTTCCTAAATTTTAGTTTATCTTTTCATTTATTAGTGTATGTTTAGACAAGTATGTTGCTACTTCTTTTGTTATCGTCTGCACTTCATAGGGACATGACCTAATATATGGGTATTTCTTTATTATTTACTACAAAAAGAACGACTTAATAAAAAAAGCAAAAAGCAAGAAAAATGAGGTTGTCCCCATTAAGTCCCAACTTTTAACAAATTTGTTATCAATATGGAAACATACTTTACTCTTTCTATCAATATGGCAATGTACTTTATCTTTTACCCATAATAGCAACGTACATATGTTTTGCTTACCGTTCCTAGCAACATACTCATATTAGCTTTTTGTTACAACATGAATTTGAAGAAAGGGTAATTCAATGATTTAAATTGATTTATTTTTTATATGATCAATAACAAAAACAATATTTTATTAAAAAAGAACGCTTAATCATAAAATTGAGAACAGGAACCAGATTTTAGAACCAGGAATTTCAGTTCCAAAGTTGGTCGAGTATTGGTACCAATATTAGTATCATTATCAATATCAGTCTTGCGGCCTCAGTCTTGTTGCATAGCTTATTGAATACAAACACTTGATATATTTTCTAGTAATTGTGTTCATGATGACAGAGATGGGATACATTTTACAGCAGCTGCGAGTGCAACAGTGGCAAGTGAGATACGACTAGCAATTTTTCAAGCTGACTGGACACCGAGTTTGCGTTGGGATTTGTTGCCTACCGAATTTGATGTCGTTGTTGCTGCCAGTGCCGTAGGTTAAGATTTGTTTAGGTTTATTGAATAAAATGTGAGGTTTAATGACAAAAATAATGTTTAGTATGTTTGTGGGTTTATGTTGTTTTCTTCCCTATTGTTGGTTTGGATTAATTATGTCTTTGCCTATGGAGTTTGTTGATTGGTCTTGATGGCAGTGCCATGAGGACTAACATGTTGAAATCTGTACTTTAAATTTTTCGAATACAATTTGAGTTTACGTGACAAAAAAAGGTTTTTGGTATGTTGTTAGTTTAGGCTCTTTTTATTCATAGATATATGACTTAATCCAGATCTGGTAAATGATATATTGGTAAATAATATATGAGTTAATACAATTATAGATATGATGATCACAAATAACAATACCAAGAAGATATATATAGTTGGAAACTCTTATATGTGTGGAAAACCACAAGCACAACTTGATAGATTAATGAAACTCGACTATAAAGTAGTAGGTTACATGGCTGAAAATGCAAGGAGAATGAGAAAAAAAGAGATGACAGAATAAATAAAAATTGACATCTAAATGACTTTATCTAATAGTGTAAGGTCCTTAAATCTGAGGATCCAAACCAGTGATCAAACAAATAACAATCAATCAAAGTAAGAACGGAGTAAAAGGATTAAGAACAAGCATGCATGCGTTTATATCACAAAAACGTCTAGTACACCTTGGATAAACACACTAGGCCATGAACAGACTGACCAACTCGCTAACTCTGACACAAGACTGACAGACCCCTATAAATAGCAACAAGCCAACCGCAAATGGGGTTCACTGCCGTGAACATGTTCACGGTCGTGAATACCCTTACAACCGCAAACACTAAACAAAAGAGCTACAAACACCCCGAATCTACCAAGACACATATACTCTATGAATGACTAGCCCAAACCACATAGATGTAACCTTTCAATCTCTCATTGGTTTGTGGCTAGCATTGACTCAATCCTTCTCAATGATAAGCACATCTGACCTCCCCATGGCACCATGCCACATCTTCTTCTGGATGATCTCTGCAACCATTGCAGTGTATTCTTTAGCTGCACTCTCAAAAATCTCTTCAGATACCTTGATTTGATGTTGAGCCAGCTGGTGTATGTCCCACTTTCCAAATTGAAATAGATCCCTCTTGTCAAACAAGCGAAAGCTGCCATCTGAAAATTTGATGACAACAGAAGCTGTGGATTCATCAAAGACCCAGTAGAGCATATTTCTCAGAGAATCATCGCAAAAATTTTGCAAAACAGGAACCTGTCTCACTTGATTGCTAGGTGGCCACAACACCATCTTGAAAGGCTCGTTAGTCATTGGATCCAGTATGTGACGGTGTGTTCTAATGATGGATTCTGCAGTCTTCATCTCAGTAAATCCCTTTTTTACTTGATTTTCCAGGAAAAGCTTGAAATGAGTTGCTCGTGGATCATTTGATGGATTAACAAAGGGAGCATTAGCAAGTTCAGAGAGATCAACTCTTGTCCATGAGTTGAAATCATGAAAGTCCTTGTAATACTCCACATTTGAACTTTTACGTTTCACAATCCACATATTCAATTTGTCATGAAAATCCCATGACAAAATCTCGGATCTATCACCATACTTGTGGCCAAATCGTTTCTGTTGAAGATCGGTTACAGTGATTTGGGGTTGATCTCCACGAGCACTTTGATCTGAATTCTTCTTGAATAGCAACTTTTGTTTCTTAAAGGACGTTGTTGATTTGGCACGTAGTAAAGAAGCTACGTGAGGAGCTTGAATTGGTTCTTTTTCAAATCGATCAACGATTTGAGTTGTTCTCATAGTGGGCGGGTCAACAGGAGGGTCTTGAGAAGACTAGCCAGCTCTGAACTCTTCAACTGATGATTTGAACTTGTCTCCAAGTTCCTTTGCCAACTTTCCTTTTAAATCATAGTAACATGCAGTTAGAGTCCCAAGATGTGTCTGCAGATCTGAAATTTGCTTTGACTTCAGAGTAACATCTGCTTCAAGCTCAGCGATTCGAACATCATGTTGTCCAATTAGGAGGTCCTTCTCTATGTTTTTATGGTTGAGAACACCGATTTCTTCTCTAATCTTGGACACTAAAGGATCATCATCCTCTGAATGGCCTTCCTCAATAGATATTCCTTTGTCACGAGAGGAAGGCACTCAATATTGTTGTTGTGCCAAGTGCTTTGCAAGCTTCACAGAGGCAGCATCATGTGAAGGCCTTGGAGGAGACGATCCCTGAGCAGCTGATGAGCCTCTAGTTTCATACACAGTGCTTGGACCTTCTTCGATTGGTTCGGGTGATGCAGCAGCAGTTGTTGTTGTTGTTGATTGAGTTAGCGTGGCTTGTTCCAGAATAAGTACTCCCGGCCTCGGATCAAGTCGTCTCATTTTCAACAGAGGCTGGGAGATTTGAGTCGTCAGAGGATCACTCACAGACGACATTGAAGTTAGAATAGCAACATCAAGGGGAGGAATCCCTGAAGTCGCATCCATATGACTTGAAGTATCAGCCATCTGTAGTGAGGTAGGAGGCATCGTTTCTTGAACATCTTCGACATCCCCTATCTCTGTTGCTTGTTGAGCAACATCATTGATATTGTCAAAGAAAATGTTGAGGTCTTCATTTGATGGGAAGAAACACTCATTACTCTCGAAATTTAAAGGAATGTCGTCCTTATCAAAACCCGAGAGATCAATATCATGATAAAGATTATCCTCATCTTCTTCATCATCATTCACAACTACATCTTCCATCAAGCTCTCTTCAAATTCATCATTATCATCATCATCTTCTTCTTCCTTATCGTAGTTGCTTTGAACCTCCACGTTTGTCATCTGATCATGTTCCTCTGCCACTATTGCGACAGGAGGAGCTCTTTCTTCTTCCTTCTCAGAAGCAGTGATTACATCATCCTTAGATTCTTCATATGCAGACGGGCTTTCAGATGCAGATGAATCACTGACTTCTGCAAACTTACCAAACTTCACTAACAGATGTTTCCCTTCAAACATAAATTTTCCTTTTCTGTTTTGTTTCATGCGACCAAAGGTTGTGGAACCAAGAAACTTCAAATCAATTGTGTCTCCCCTTTTCTCAATTTCCGGATATTTCTTGTTGAAAAGCATTTGAAGAAACCTTGGAAACATCATAAATTTGTCTTTGCCCTTCCCTTCAATGTTGCTAACCATATCATTGAAGATGAACCTTGAAAAATTGAAATCCAATCCCGCGGCCAAGGCAGCAATTGCTCCAACGGTGTTCAACGAGACCTCGTCAGCCCCGACCCTTCTTCCCGAAATGCAGCTAATGAAAACATGAACCAAAAATATCCAATAGGGTGGAAGTAATTTCTTGATAATTGGTGGAAATACACCCTCATACCCCATGCGAGCTATGATTTCTTTGGTCTGGTCCAATGAAATTTTGGTTGGAAAGCCTGGCTTGTCATCGATCTGAAGAGCTTCACGAATTACTTGTTCGGTGATCGAGACTTTCCTGTTGTGTACAGTGGCAACCACTGAGATAACCTCACCATTTACTTTGAGTACAGTGGCAGTTTCCCAGAATTGTTTCAATGGCTCGTGGAAAATAACCGGACTGGCGGTAAGAGCAAAAGTCAAGCAACACTTCTTCAACCCATTGATCATGGATCTAAAGTCACCATGAGGAGCAGGTGGATCAACCAGGAAGACAGCAAGGTTGTGAGTGTCTGAAAACCTCAAGTTTGCCATAGCGATCTGCACTTAACCAAGCCAAGTAAGAAACCAATGATTTAAGCAATTAAATTTTAGGTTTTTCTCATTAAACAGTTTAATCAGGCTTTAGTGTGAAAAATTTAGGTCCACAAATTGGGGTTCACGGTTCCAAAGGGGGTTCACGGCTAAAAAGGATGTTCACGGACGTTTACGGGTTCACGGACGTTTACGAGTTCACGGCCGTGAACCCTTCAAGGATCGTGAACGCTTCAAGGGGACGTGAACGCTTCAAGGAGCCGTGAACGACGATCAGATCCTTTTCTTCGATTTAAGCCATGATTCATGGTTCTTTTTCGAATATGTTAGCATGATGGTGATCGAAAAAGACATACCTACAGGATGAAACAAACAATTTTACGAAAATAGATGAATCAAAAATCGATGATGAGAGAGAGTACAGGAGTTTGCGGCCGTGAATAGAAATGGAGAGTAAAACTGATCTCGGCCAAGGACTCTTCCTTTTATACATGGGCCCTACCCGGTCCATCACCTATGGGTTGCAAACCCAAAATGCTTTAAGTTCAAGCCCAATACATCAATTCATTTTAAAAATAAAACATTTTGAGGACTAGAAAATAGAATAAAAATAAAATAAAAAAATAAAATAAAATAAAATAAAATAAAACAAATTCTAAAAAATTAAAGTGAACAAATTTTTAAAAATAAAAATAAAAATAAACATAAAGATAAAACTTGAAATTAAGATGAATTAACACTAATTTCACTTCAACTAACACTAATTTGTTCATAGTTTTCCTCTATGCATAAATTTAGGGGGAGAATTAAAAAAATTGCAAAAATCAAACAAAAATCAGAAAATTAAAAATCCTTCAAACCTGAAGCAAGGTGAAGCTGACTTGAAGATTATGTGACAAGTTGCATTGAAGCCTCCTAAATCAATTTGTTGCTATCTTGTACCTGCTGAAGTGATCCAGAAGATTGTTTCTCTCTGATATTCTCTCTGAAGATTCTCAAGCTGAAAGCGCTATCTTTCAAGAATCTTTTCAAGAAGCCTCCTCACCCAACGTGCGTTCAATGCCAAATTCTGAAGAAAAGCCCAAGTGCTCAAGATGAAGTCATTTATTGAAGATTCATCATGTTCATCTTGAAGCTGTGAAGAAATCGAAGATAAACACTGAAGCCAAGCTCCAAATGAAGATTGACAAGAAAATCTAGCTACTTTTTAGGGGGAGCTTGTTGGGTCAATTAGAAAAGAAATCTATAAAGCAAGGGAGAGATTGTTGGGTCTAAAATATTGGTTTATACTTTACTTTTATAGGAAAATGTATTTTTCAGTCATGTAATATGTGTTTGCGGTTGTGTTTACGGCCGTGAACTGGTTCACAGCTGTGAACCCATTCACGGCCCATGTGTCATATATATAGATGTTAGTTGGGTGAGGAGTGGACGGCTAGA